ACAACAAACCCTTGTTTTCAAACCATCGTAGCGCTGTTACTCATGAAGTGCTGAAAGTGTTCATTTAGGACTGCTTTAATAGCGGGTATTCATACTAAAAAACCCCGAACACCTTTCAGTGTACGATAAACAAGGTTTTGCTATACTGGATATTTTAGCTGGCTCACCTTTAGTGTATTACACATAAAAGCTATTTTGACCAAACACTGATTTACAATGCTCACTGACTATCATGGAAAACATCTTTAACAGAAAATATTAATTGCAATTCAGTCAAATTTATTGTAATATTTCCTTTATTTTCAACAATGCTGCAACTTTCTTTTTTTTGCTGCCACCGTTTATAGCTGTTCTAACGTGATACTTGAGCTCATACTCAGCATAAAATCATTTGTGTTTATGGCTGACCCATTTTGAAAAATTGTATGTATTCAGTAGCAGCTTGGCCTGCGGCTGAGTACCGTCAAAGTTAGAAATTAATAATTTTCTCGTTGCTTTTAATCATGGAAACTTAATGTGATTGTTTTTTTGTTTAAAATTAAGTACAGCTAACCCTTGCAACCCTGTATTGTTATTTTTTTATGTATTTGAAGACTGTTTTTAACCATCTTCATTTGCATTATGGTTGGTTTCCTTGAGAATAATCTTCTGTGACAAATTATGGCTGAAACTTCCTCGCAATAATAACATAATTAGAAAACAATGGAGCCAGTGACAGTTTGTTTGTGAGGCAAGAAGCATCATAAAGAATATTGATAACTTATTTCCTTTATGCCCCCTCCATTGTTTTAAACATGTATTCTCAGGCTGTATGTTCTGTATACACGTGTGAGTCTCCTTACAGCACACAGCAGATACTCTTTAAAAATTTTAACCATCAAAATTAATAAATTAGTGTCAGAATAATAGAGAAATCTATTTCACATGAAAATAGATGGATTACAGACAGATGTTCTGGTGTGTTTTTGAGCCCCGTGAACTTTTTAAAGACTCAAAGTTAGTTTTCTGTTTGTAGTTTGTTTAGAAATAAAACTCTACCAAAAATATTTAGATGTTTATTGGACTTCATGGGAAACTTGTATCTTTTTCAATGTTGCATGTCAAATATTGCCTCAGATAGGATTTGCACCATGTGGTAAAATTATCATCAATTTATTAAAAACATGTCAAAGAAATCTAAAACTCTTCAGAATAAATATAAAAAACACACTAATGAGAAACCTTATTTTCAAACTTTTGACATTTTGGACATGTTTTTAGCCACAAATTAGATGCAGTTGTTTTGACCTTGAGAAACAGAATTTATCATCTGAGAGTGATTGAACAATTCTCAGCTAAAATTAAATATCTGAACATAATTGTTGGATCTTCTGCTGATTAGCCTCTTGTGAGTTCGTGACAATTTGTTTTTAATTCATGTTGCGAAATCCCTGCTGAATGTGGCAAACAAGTTATTGCAAGAGAGGATTCATGTAGATTTGGTGAGAACAAATCCATCCATCCATCCATCCATCCATCCATCCATCCATCCATCCATCCATCCATCCATCCATCCATCCATCCATCCATCCATCCATTAGGGGTTTGTGGAGCCATCCAATCCAAAAGGCAGATCCAGACATTAGTCTACCCAGTGACACCCTTTAGACCCTCCTGCTGGATCCCAGGCCAGGGAGCAGTGGGTTCTGGGTTTACCCTGGGCTCTCCTTCCAGTAGGAGGTAGCCTATCATAGAAAACCTCCAGAGGAAATCAAAAAGCAAAAATAAGTAGGTCCTCTGGATGGGTTCTTCTTTAGTGAAACATTTCGTCTCTCCTCCAAGAGACTTCTTCAGTCTGAGTATAAGCACTGCCTCCACATGGTGGACAAACAGGTTGGTCACATGCAAAAGAGGGCCATTGACTAACAATAGGCTTGATTGGCTCTATTGGCTTCCTCATCACAGAGCACACCTCCCCCACAACTCCTGCAGGCTATCTGTAGCAACAACTAGCAAACAAATACCTGGTGAAACCTTTGCCTGGTTGTAGACAGTAGTCATGCGTTTTGGTACAGTTGTAAAGGGTTGAGCAAAGATCATTATCAGATCTATCGTTTTGTCTTATTTAATAAAACTTCAACCCAACTCCAGTACAAAACCGCTTCCCCCCGGAAGCCCCCCAGGTTTTTCACAGTAGAAGCACAATAATGTCTCCATACGTCAGGCAAATTTACATCGTGCATGAGATCTATCCATGTGCGTCCCTGGAGAGGTGTATGCATTCAGTGATGGCTAAAGCGGGAGAGTTTTTATTTATTTTTTTACGTCAGTCAATAAGAAGCTGCTCATACAATAACATTAGCTTGCTAATGCGAATAGCGGTGCTGTGAGGAAAAGTGTCCCCCGTGAAACAGTTCACTGGTGGGCGCGACAAAATGTTCCAAACATGTTCAGGCTGTTTAAACCAGAATGTTGATATTCAGAAAATTCATAAAAATTAAAGACGGTAATGCCATGTAAAATCAACTTTTTTTAGTTTTATGTCATGTTATAATGTTATCCTCTCATAAAAAACATGCCCAGAGTCTTACTGTGACTCATTCATGCATGTTTGAAAAATCCTGTGCTGTCCTGTTTCTGCCAGGCAGGGGAGCAAAAACAACAGGTTGGGACTAGAACCGCCTTTTTGGACCAGCTCCTCCTCTGGGCTGTGTCTTCAAGCCGAGCTTCCTCATCACAGAGCATGCCTCCCCACCCCCATCCCCCGCACCCAGCCCGAGACTCCTGCAGTTTCTCTGCAGCAACAAAGCAAACAACTGTGAGCTCCCAATACTACTTCTCAGTGCAGCCTTTTTCAGATTCAAAATACCTTTGACAAAGTGTATTTTCAGATGCCAAGTAAACTCAAGTTGGGGTCTCTGCAGAATGTGTTGTCCCGTGGGCAGAGACGGCCCAAATCATCATTGGCCGAGGTTTTAATGTGGGCAGAGACGGCCCTACTCATGATTGGCAGAGGTCTTGATGTGAGCGGAGATGGCCCAAGAGATGTGATTGGTCGGATTGACGGTGGGGTATGAGGCTGGAGGCAGCGGGGAGTAGCTTGGTCAAGTTGGGCAGGAAGTAAGTTTTGTTTTTATTAATTTTAGTCATAACTTGAGAAAGGAAAGTGCTAGCTGCACGAAATTCAAACGTCTTGAAAGGATGTGTAACAATATGGCTTGGTTAAAACATCCCTAACCAGCCTGTAAAAAAATATTGATTTTTAGCGATCTTTTTACAGGCTGGTTAGGGGTGCCAAGCCATTTTGTTACACATCCTTTCACATGTATGACGTTCAAATTTTGTGCAGCTAGCACTTTCCTTTCTCAAGTAATGACTAAAATTAATCTTAAAAAACTTGTTGCTTCCTGCCCGACTTGATCAAGCTACTCCGCGTTGCCTCCATCCTCCTCAAACCCCACCATCAATCTGACCAATCACGTCTCTTGGGCCATCTCCGCCCACATCGAAACTTCTGCCATTCACGAGTAGGGCCGTCTCCGCCCACAGGACAAAACCTACTGCAGAGATCCCTTACTCAGTAAACTACGCCAAGCTTCCGTATTACAGCCCGCACACTAGGAA